TCTTAGTTTTGCTGCTTTCTGGGTTTTTTTCTGCTTTCTAATTCTACGGTTATTTCCTCCTCCACCTGCTCCCCCCCACCCAGCACACACTATATGCACAACTTTTGCTGACTTGTTAAAACGAAATCTGCTGGGAAACACAGAAAACTTTCCAGAGAGGCATGAATCCAGCGGGTGATCTCCTCAGCTCCCTGCTCGCAGAAACACGTGCACACCCTGTAATCCTGTTCAGCGGCTGGTGTGATCAGTCGTACAGAAGAGCCAGAAGATGTAAAATCCTTACACTCCAATTTAGTGCGACTTCACATCCTCTTTGCACTGCTACAAATGCCTCTACAGACTGTGCAAGAACTGGGAAGCTTTGATTTTTTTCGGTAACTGTGCCTGACACCTAAAAGTAATTAATTCCTCTGTAGATTTTTATTTTTTCACTGACTGGACGAACTGTGCCCCTCCCAGCCCAAAGGTGGTTTCATGTTTAACAGCTGTTTGAGTGTTTAATGGTCCTTTTCATAGATAACTATGCCTATTGTGTTCAGCTGAGCTGGCCCTGGCAAAAAAAAAAAAGTCTCCAGGTAGCAGCTTTTCTTTCAGCAGATGAGAGCAGGGTTTTGTTGCGTTGTTTGTTTTTTGGTTTTTTTTTTTGGGGGGGAGGGTCTAAACAGATACTAGTAATACGTGGCACATGTCTGTGGGTGGCTTATCATCAGTGTTTTACAAACATATGTTAATTAAGCTATGTTGCCGCAATGAAATTGGCAAGTTAATGCTTGTCAGTCTTTAAATATCTGTGAAGAGCTAGGCACACCTATGGGCCCTATAGGTAAATTTATTATCCATAGAATAGGTAGAGGAATGGGGAAAACCTCTTGCATAGATACTCATGCTCTAACTTGCCGTATTTGGGAACGCTCCCAGGTAATCTTGACAGATCACCGGCTGTGGCAGGGGTTTGAGAAGACTAACTTAACAACAGGGGTTGCCCACTGCACATTTTGCTGGCTCAGAAGTGCCATCTGCGAGGCAGCCCATCTGCTTTTTGTACAGAACTGCAGTTTTCATGGGGGTTTAGTCCACAGTCTTGCAAAGAAGCCTGAACTCGCCCAGGGCCCCAAAGCCTGGAGGGAACCATCCCTTCATATTGCAAGGCCAGTACTAACAATTAATGGTTTTTCCAGGACGTGAGGTAATTTCTAGACATGGACCAGTTGGAGAGGGTCCAGAGGAGGGCCACGAAGATGATAAGAGGGCTGGAGCACCTTTCCTATGAGGACAGGCTGAAAGAGTTGGGGCTGTTCAGCCTGGAGAAGAGGAGTCTTTCTGCAGTCATTGGACTCATTGCAAATGGAGGGGATGGAAAGAAAACAAATTCACACTTCTGATATCTATTCTTGATCAATTCCCTATGTGGATGTTCTTACTTCAAATGAATATTATCTGGCATTCTTGCTCCTCAATAACTAAATCCATACCACAGTGTGTGGAGGGGAGAGGGAGCATAACAGGCCTGAATTGATGCCTGAACTCTGCATGCCTTTAATTATAAGCTTCCTGTGTATGAAGTTGTTCAGGAGCAAAGTGGAAGAGGAACAAAGTTGTTCAGGAACAAGTTCACTGTATTTTAATTTTCAGAGGTTCTGGTAACATTCCCTGCATCCTGCTGCTTTGTGTTGGGAAGTGAAAACCAAGGTGGGACCTGAAATCCAGTTCTGCCTAGCAGAAGTTATTGAGAGACTCACTATTAGTATAATGTAGCTCCACCATAGTTCACCTGTATCAGGAACCTACATGTTAATGATGAGCATAAACACAATGTCAGCTCTTTTTTTTCTTTTTCTAACAAAGAAAAGCTTGTGTAAGCACTGTTGACAGAAGGAGCCTGACGGGGCAGATGTGTTGGTTGTTGTTGGCTGTACAAGCAGAGACTCAGCAAACACAGTAGGGGACACTTGCTGTGGCATCACTTTCCCAAAAGCAATTTGTTCAAGGGCGTTTTTCAAAGGAAAGAGGTCTCTGGTGGGAATTATTGCCCCTTCCGTAGGAGACTCCTGCAACTTGAGCTGTGCCTCTTCCAAACTTCAAGTGAACAAGTTCCATCCAGTCTTCAGCTCCGTTCATACCTGTATTTATTGTCCCTAGCACAGCTTGGCTCGTCACTGTGACCCCAGCACCTGGGAAATTAAAATTGAGGCAACTCTGTTCCTAGCATACTGTCAGCATGAGAGCTCTGACCTGGCAAGTTGATATTTTCCATCATCTAGAGACTAGGAAAACAGTGGCTTCCTTGTTCATAGCCTTTCAAATGTTGGAGAAAATAACTCTTTCAGGCAGATAAGTGCATTCATACTTCTAATGGCGTAAAAGGTACGGAAAGGGAGAGAAAGACAAAACATGTAACATCAGCATTAAAGTTGCCCATAACCTTCTTGGTTTTGTTGTTACTCATTCTGTGAATGTTCAGGCTTGTCTGTCACGTCAGTGCAACCTTTTGTTTTTATGTAAAAGCTATGCCTGGAAAGAGGTATTAGTTTCATACCAGAAAAAAAGTGTACATATGAAGAGAGGGAATGATCATTTTGCCTCCAAATCTTGAAAACACAGACACACACACACACTCACTTCAGTTCCTTCCAGACAAATATCAGGTGTTTATGTTTGAGACATATAAGACATTCCTTGGGAAGCCAGCCCTGAGAGCAGACTTCTCACAGGGAATTGGGAAAAGAGAAAAATAAAATTCTTGCTTGCACTATGGCCAAAGATTCAGGCCCTGATTCCTTTGCACCTTCATTCTTCCATTACTCACCTTCTGATTAAGTGCTAGAGCTGTGTTTTTCACTCTTCTTTTTCAGTAGATTTTCAGTGTTCTTTGTTCAAGTGGATCCTTACAAAGGCAATAAAAGTTTCATAGAGGAAAAACTAGGTACTTGGCTTTGGCATTCCTCAGGCCGCTGAAATAAGCCTTCTTCCCCTAGAAGAGTGAGAGCTCTTTTTAAGACATTTATTAATTCCTTCCAAAGTGCAGCAGGAGCCAAGCCAGAAAATTACGAGTTTATTGGTGGCACTTGGGCATGTGCACTCCTGTACTTTTGTCTCCCCTGTATCCTCCTCCTACATACTCTGTTATCAGTGCTCTCCTTTATTTTGCACCAGCGTGATGGGCCTCCCTTTCAGTTCCTAATATTTTATTCAGTTGTCTTTTTACTGTCATCTTGTTTCCAGATTATTGCAGTGGTCATGGATGTATTTACAGACGGGGACATCTTCCGCGATATTGTTGATGCAGCACATAAGCGCTGGATCCCAGTCTATATAATCCTAGATGAGGAGGGTGTGAAGCTTTTCCTGGAAATGTGCAGATGCCTTGACCTCAGTGACTTGCAGATCCGGGTAAGATACTCAATGCTGAACCATTATCTCCTGCAGGTCAATGGCCTTTTGTGGTTGTAATAAATCTTGGAACTCACTTGGACAGGCAAGCGCACCTCTTCCTCTTTACAAGTCACATCACAGCACTTGGACAGAGGTCGATGGAACATAGATAAGAGAGTGGCTTGCCAATACAGAAGGAAAGAGAAAGGAAAGATTTGGCTTTTTTGCCTTTCACCTGAGGCAGGGGTCTTCGTAGTTTCTTGGCTCCTGTAACCTGAAAATTCCTGTTTGGGAAGAAAATTGCCTGAGGAAATTCCTGTCGGTCTCCTACGCAAGGACTCCAACTAGAGTCCAGAGTAGGTCTTTGAGCTGTTGTTTGCATGGAACCCAGTTATAGGACACATGTACTCTGTGAAATCAAGATTTTCCTATCCAGCAGCAATCATCTGGGAGTGAATGAGCTTGTAGTCCTCCTTTGCCCGAGAACATAAGGGACTGAGGAGCACAGCTGCTCCCCAGTTCCATATCAGAGTATGCCTTCATATAGTGCATGCAGCACAGCAGAGTAGTCAGTCTAGCTGGGCTGGCAGAAGCAGCCTTAATAGGATCTCATTCGGTTACATACAGACTGAAATCTTGTGTGTGTTTATAGTTAGTATTGTATTCCTTGCTTTTTTTTCATGCTTTTTAGTCACTGTTGCTACTACAGACTTGATCTGAATACTGGAAAAGTTGCTAGGTTGGAAACAACCTGTGGGATGCCAGACTCGCCCCGCTTGTGATCCAGCTGTTCTTCTGAGCAGCGGGGGGGGGCGGGGAACGTGCCTTTTTGCCTGGAGGAAGGGCAGATCTTCTATAAGCACTCGATTAATAGTTTAGAAAAAAACACAGCCAAAACTCAAAAAGCTCTGAAGGTTATAGAGGCTCGTATTAACCACTTCAGGAGAACCATCTTAAATCTGGACAAAAATGACTTGCACGTATCAGAACAGTGCTCCTGTGAACTACCATTCTGCTCTGAGTTTCTAGACTTCATCAAAAAAGACATCCAGCCGAGCAGCTTTCTCATTTTTTTCCAAAACAGAGATGGAAGTTTCTTTCCTTTGGTGTCTTTGAATGCAAGACACAGACATCATTATAATAGACCTGTTTCAAGCTTCAGGGATATTCTGTGGCCTAGGCTCAAGTCTCTTTGGTACAAAACTGTGAAATCACAGCAGTAGTTCCATTTGTTCCAGTACCTGTTTCCTACTACTTTTCTTGCCGTGTCATCATGTGCAGGAATGATGCCTGAAGTACTGCATATTTTAACGCCTGGATAAAGTGAATGAAAAGATACCCTGGCATTTTAGAAAAAGTTGCAATGCTATTGGAGAATTGAGTTCCTTTTTGTCTGCCTTCTCTGTCTTTTAACAGTAAGTGGTCCCCTTTTGCTCTTCCTCTTACCTCTTTCTCCAGAGATATCTGCACAGACTTTACACTCCGAAACCAATCATCACAGGGACATGCTACAGCAGGGACTACTAGGTCCTGCAGCAGCCTAGTTGCATTACCCTTTCCAAAGAGGCAGAGTTCGAACTGATGCCATCAAAAGCAGGAGAAAACTCTTCTGTGTCCCTTCTGTGCTTTCCTTCTCTCACAGTAGCCCTTGCTATGTTTTTCATTACAGTCCTTCAGCTAAAAAAAGTCCAAATACAAGCTTAGCAGAAGGAGATCCGCTAAGAACTTTTAAACATCCTTCTTTGACCTAGTGGTTCACTCTTCTGTAGAGCTCCAGCCCACAGAGTGCTGTCCTTCAACTTTTTCCCCTCTTTTCCCAGCTATCTCATACTGTATCTTAAATTCCCCTTAAGGTTGTTGTATTTCTTTTCTAGTATGGTTAAGGCTTTAGTTAATATTGTTAAGGCCAATGCAGTTTATTCCTGTCTATGGTACTATGGAAGGACTGGGAAGAATCTTCCTTTAAGGAGAAACAGGTCATTTGCCTCTCAGGGAAGATGAGTGGTGAGGCATTGGAACAGGTTGCCCAGAGAAGCTGTAGATGCCCCATCCCTGCAAGTGTTCAAGGCCAGGTTGGATAAGGCTTTGGGCAACCTGGTGTAGTGGAGGGTTTCCCTGCCCATGGCAGGGGGGTTGGAACTAGATGATCTTTGAGGTCCCTTCCAACCCAAACCATTCTATGATTCTATGACCTCTTAGTATCCTGCCCAAGGCTGCCTTGGATATAGCTGTGCTGCTGCTTAGGTCAGTATGGCAGGAATCATCATGTAGTGATTCTCCTGACACCAGGCTTCCTTCCCCAAGCAATCTCAAGCAAGGTTAAGGCTTTCCCTTGAGGACTCTCCTCACCCCCACCTCATTGATGTAATGTGTCGAGGGTCGTTTTGAACTTTGAGTGTTGAAGATCTAGATTTAAAGCAAGAAAGCAAGCTGGGCCTCCGGTCTTGTTCAGACAGAATCGTTTTGTACCGCATTGCTTGATCACAGAGGATGTTGGAATTGCTGAGGAAGAAGAGAAACTCTATTGCAGTTAATTCTATCATTCAACCATTTCTTATTTATGACATGTCTTTCTTCTGACATCTGCTTTCATGTCTGAGTTTCTTCTACAGATTTTCAGCAATAGGGAAAACATTCTTTCCTTACACTGTCTTTTTGTGTAACCATTTTGCTTTCTTCTAAAAGTTTTTTTGCCAGTGAGCCATAGTTTGTCAGCAAAAGAATTGCATACTCTTCCTTCCTGCCCTTCTTACCACCTTTCCTTTGGAATGCTTGGACAAGATTTACAGGATGGCTTTTTCTCATAAAGTTGCAGCAATGTCGGATGTAATTTTAAGGTTTAGAGGCAAGTTCTGATCCCAGGGGAAGAGTGAAAGAGATGACACACCACCATGAGCTGTCATCACTGCAGGGTCAGGATGCTTATTCTGTCTTCTGTCATCACCAGATGCTCAGATTGTTCTGTGATTCCTGCCATTTCGTTTCTATTGCCCTCTTCGCCCAATGCAGAGTGAATACTTCAACGGTCCTGATACAGGGAGATTTACTGTAAACACTGGATTTTGCCCTTGTCTACATACAGTACTGGGTATTTTCACAAAATTCCTGGCTGTTGTATCGTTTTGAGATGGCAAATCATCATGATCTGCTGACAGTCTCACAGGAGAGAAACTGCTGTAGGAAGACAGTACTTCAGTCTGCAGAGACAAACAGCTTTTTAATGACTCGAAGCATGAAATGAGAAAACCTCAATTTTTGTCTGAAGGCCAGAGATCACTAGAAATGCATTGAAATTCAACCATCGGCACATTCATCCTGGGATGTTAGTAAGAGCGTGTCTCGTGTGTATGAGTCATATGGCTTCCTGAGCCTACAGGACATGGTTTGCCAGACTTCTGTTAAGTTTGACACAAGAGTGTTCTTCGGAGAACACAATGAATCAGAGTTCTCATAGATACAAAATTCATAGCCCCACAAAAAGTCCTCTTTTAGTTGACCTGAGGGTGAGTATTCTTACCAGTTTTTAGATGAGTTCTCTTTCTCTCCACGCTTCTGCTAACCAAGACCCCAGTAAGAGATACTCCTGCTCAAAGATGGGGAGTTCACCTAGAGCTCCTAGGAAGCCCAGGAAATGAGTTACCTGCAGGAAGTTCGCCTTCATGTTAATTTTTACATTCATTTTGTCAACATGTAAGGAGTTCCTCCCCTCACTCCAGGAATTCTTAAAAGTTTCTGCCTAAGAAATTTTTGGAATTTCATTTCACTATTTCCTGTCTTTCCTCATTGATTCCTAACTCGATTGAGGGCGAAGCTGAATGTAATGGAATGCAGTGCTGTTGGTTTTTAATTATCTGTTAGAGAATTCTTCTAGGCTGCTCATGACCTTTTGAAAATGAAGGCTTAGAAAGCTTTCTTTTTGCAAAGACCCAAATAAATAATACCCAGTAATCACCTTGGCAGTCTAGGTCCAGCTAGCTGCATTCCATCCTGTTCTACTTGAATACCTGCAAGTGATACTATTTTGTCAACAAGCATGCCTTTTCCAAAACTATTCGGGGAAACACATAGGATAAGTCCACAGTATTTCCCAGCGTTACTTGGTGGCTACTTCCAGGTTGTGGCTGCTTTTATGTCCCTGTGTAAGATGAGAACCTACCACTCATCTCTCTGACCTGAAGGTCTGATCACGAGAAATTAGAATCTTGCCAACCATGAATAAGAAAAATGCCTTTACTGTTGTTACTGTGGTGCTGTCCACATGAATCCTATATCTGTCTTCCACTTTCCTTGTTCTATGGTACCTCCATCTAGGCTTTTAGAGTGGGAAATAATGGGCATTTAGGGCCTCCCCCTCAGCCCTGTGCTTGAGTGAAGCAGTAGTACAGGAAAACAAAGGACAGGGGCATCCTCAACAGATTCTATTGACTGAAGGAATCTCATTTTTCCCAGGGACAGCAGAAAGGGGATCTCCACATTTTTAAAAACACAGTTAATATTAAGAGACTGTTGAGTCACTGTCATCTATCAGCTACTGCTTTTGTCTGTTGTCTCTCCTTAATCTGCTTTACATCTGTTAGTTTATAGAGCTTGTTCATGCCATCCATCCCAACTTGAAATAAAGATTGGGCTTGCTTTGCAATATATCTGTCAGCAGTTGTTCTAAGAGAAAAGGTACGCACAGAATTCCCTGGTGGAAGGACTTACAGTGCTTCCCTTTAGAGTCTGTCTTGTGTATTCCCCCCGCTCAAGCCCAGCTTGTGAGCATTACTGCCCAGGTCTGTCCAGTGACAGCTAAGTGTCAGTCACAACACAACCTAAGACTTTCTAAACTGGGTCTAATTTAACTTTCTGTTAAACCTCAGGTTGAGGTTTAAAAGCGCGCATCACAATGAAGCAAGAAAGACTGATTCCTTCACTGTTTGTATTAGGATGCTCTGTCAGGCTTGACTGTTACCAGTCTGTGTTAAGTTGCTGCCAGGGAGGCCTTAGTCACTGCTTGTAATGAGGAGCGGTGCAAGCCTGTGTAAAGGAAATGTGGAAATTCAGTGCAGACTGCAGCTTCCATAAGCCAGGATATGACAGCCTGCTTCTGCAAGAATACAGATCTGGAGGGGTCATTTTCATCTGGTGAACTAACTGGTCCTCTACCCAAAATATTTGTTACTACTGTAACACTAGTGCCCCCCCAAAATGGCTGCAATCTCACCTCATTCGTATTTTTCTTTCCTCTTTTGTTGTTGTGTAGTCTTCAGTACATGAACCCAGGCTTGTTCCTCCTCTGTACAGCTTGATATATCAGTCTACAAATGCTCCAAGACCCTTCAAGGCAAAAAACATTATACAAATAACCTGTTAAGTGACTCGATGTTTATGTGACTTTGTGCTTGTTTTCTGCATTTCAGGATGTATTTATGCACTCCTGTGCCTACTTTGTTCAAGAAGGTTTATGCGTTCAGCTGTGTGGTTCTATCCTCTCTATGCCTTGCTAAGTGTTATGTGTAGCTCGCTCTCTGCAAAAATTCAAATATGCTTTCTTTCCACCAAAAGGAGGTGATACAACATACAAACACGATAAAATCTACACTTGTTACATGCTAGGGAACTTTCTGCTCTCACAGGCTGGTACTTCTTGATTCACAAAGTTACATGACATGTCAGAGCTGCTGACTGATTTGAAGAACACAGGTCCTTCTTGACACTTGCAGTCACTATTCCATGATTTGGCAAATCCCACATCCAGCTTTACTCAGCAAGGAAAGAAATGATTTCAGATGATCAGCCAGCCAACTACGAATGTTATTCTAAATTCTGGAAAGGGCACCCTTTCTCCTGCGCTTTACCCAACCTGCAGTCAGCATCCCACACATATGACTCACTGCTAGGCCTTGGGCAAGTCACTTCATCTTTTTCTCTCTCAGGCTGCTCATCTTTGAAACAAGGTAATAATACTTTCAGCAGTTTTGGGAGCATTAATTAGCTAATGCCTACACAGGACTCCAGACGGATCAAGCAATAGACAAATGCAAACTAGTAGAATCATCAGTTACTGTTAGTCAGAATTTGTACTGCCACTGCTATATTTTAGTGGGGGGAATAGTAACAGATTCAAAAGGTAAGAGTTATATTGAGGAAAAAAAAAAGTATATGTAATACGTATCTATATAATATATATACTCAGGTTTCTCTTCAGATCGTTTAAATATTTTTTGAAAGAAGTCTGCGTTCTTATAATCACTCGTGCCCACATGCTGATTTCTATAGCCTATCAATATTTAAGCTGTCAGTGAGGTTTATAATAATAGGACTCAGCTCTTTGTGGGATCCGAGGCTGTGCTAGCATTAGCCAAATCCTCATGATTTTCCTGCTCTGCAGATGGGGGAAGAATGAGGCAAAGGTGAATTGACTTTCCCAGAACATCACAGGGAGTAGTGTCAGAACTGTGATTACACTTGGGACTATCTGACTTCCAACCCTGGATTTATTACTCCAGATCACAATACCATTTAGCTTTTCATTGTTAAAGAATTCATACAGAAATAGATGGTGGAATGAAGAAAATTGTCTAAATTCGTGTGTCAGAGCGACCAGAGGATTTGCTCTAAATTTATACTGTCAATGCTTTTGGGTTTTGGGGTGTGTTTCATGTTAGGCGGTTTGACAATGCAGCCTCATGCAGCCAGGACCCATAAGCAGAATAACACTCAGTCCAATGTGCAAATATATTCTCATAGTAAGTGCAAGGCACACGTCTGTTGTTGAAAATCATATAACCTTAAATCTGTGCTTTCGCTGTGCCTGGTAGTGCTTTGTTTTATTACTTGTAGGTTTGCTGGCCAAAGGGTGTGAGATGGGAATCTGGGGAGAGATATTATCTTTTTTTAACTATTTCCATTCATTTCATGAAAAGTTTTTCCTTCCTCTTCTTCAGAAATTCTTCTTTGCTGATCAGTTCAGGACATAAGTAGAAACACTTATCCTACTGCTTTTGTTCAAAAAAAGTTCTGTGTTTTTTCACTCTCTGTTGAACAGTGAGGAATCTGGGTGGACATTGTAACTATTTGGGGTTCTTAGCAAAATCATAAAGGTCAGGGTTCTCCTTTTGTTGTAACAGACAGGAAACATCTATCTTTTGAGCAATAGAATTGTTTCCTCCTCTCTTCTGTAATAATTAAATTGTCCGGTCTTCTAATTTGCTCAGTTTTGTCAAGCCATGTGTTGTTGGGAATCAGAACATAAGAGCAAAAAGAACTTAATGTAGACCTTACGTTACCCTCCAAGTAACTGTGTCCTTTGCCCTGCACAGGTGTTGCAAAGTTCCTTGGTTTTGTGGTCCTGCTAATGTAATCTGGAGAAGAGCTCACGAGTGCCGTGGAATAGGGATGAGGACTCAGAGAATGCAGATGTGACTCCGAGCTTCCTCTGATTCATTCCCCAGAACTGGGCTGGGCCTTTTGAGCTACAGCACAGGACTGGAGATGGAAGATTATTTGATTTTGAAAGCATTGTCTTGCTATTGGGCTAAGATGAATAGCTGAAGACAGCAGGCAGGGTTACAAAGATGCTGAGCCATTGGACAGGGCTATAAACTGGTGGAGCAGAGTGACTTGCATAGACAGGGGATGACAACAGGTCTTACAGCACTATGCTTTCCTTTCTGCAGCCCTTCTGATTTCTGGTGGCTGATACAAAATGAGCTGTAGTCCCAGAAGTAGTGAGATAATGTGAGTGACATGTTAAGACTTGGAGCTGGCAATTATCTAATACTCTGCCCTATTTATTGTGACATTTTGTCTTTTCACCTCCCTGTTAGAATATCCGCATACGTTCTGTGACAGGAGTTGGGTTCTACATGCCAGCAGGGAAGATCAGAGGCACATTGGCATCCCGATTCCTGATGGTGGATGGTGAAAAGGTGGCCACTGGATCATACAGGTGGGTCATTCTTGCTTAAGGCAAAGCTACATACTTTGTATAAAGTATGGATTGTGGCTTTGCTTGAGAGTCATCTTCCCATGTCATTCCCTTTCTTATCCCAGCCTCCGTGATCTGTGTAGCATCTATAGAAATTGGGGTGGAATGACAGAGAAGGTGGCATAGAGCACAAGCTGCTTCTGAGAAAGCGGAACATGACCATGCTAGTGGACCACTTCAGTGGGCTAGAGATAGTTCCACACTGCATCAGGTGGTGGTCTGCAAGGACTCCTCACCAGCCGCTGCGCTCAGTTCTCTTCAGTGAGGTTTTCAGTGTGGAGACTCCTTCTGTTGATGCAGTGTTGCTTTTTTAAAAGGGTAAACTGTGCTTCAGAGTTTTAGGGCCTTTTCTTCCAGATCTGGCCTCAAGCCTAATGAAGAACAATAGTAGAGCTTCATCTGTCTATCCTGACCCATCTTGGCAGGGACATATGGACAAATGGCACAATGCTACATTTTCTCTTGCAGTGTCTTAGATATTGTTAGATGGGCTGGGTCAAGGATGCATCCAAAAATCTAATGTTGGTTTTGTTTCCTACTCTTAGCTTCACATGGAGTTCATCCCACATTGACAGAAACATCCTGCTAGTCTTGACAGGACAGCACGTAGAGATGTTTGATGTTGAGTTTCGTGAGCTCTATGCCATCTCAGAGGAAGTTAATTTCTTCAAGGAACTGGGTATTGCTAGCCCAGTCCTTCCTGGAATTGGGATGCCAGGCCTTCATTCCTCCACTGTGGCTCGGAAGATCATTAACCCCAAGTATGGTTTAGTGGCAGGGGCAGCCCGTGGTGATATGATGCTCTGGGCTTCACGACACAGACAGGATAATCAGGGGAACATGGAAAAGGAGGAAACAAGTGAGTCAAAGAAACGGTTAAATCAGTTTCTGAATGACTTAGTCACATTGGAGCAAGAGTTCCCTGAAATTGATCCACCTCTAGAGAACTTGAACAAGCCGAATCGGAGCCCTCAGAAACTGTTCTCTCGGCTCCATGTGGACCTGAAAAATAAATCCAAATCCAGAGAGTCTATTCGTGACGTGAAGAAAGAAGATGCACAGGCCAATTCAAAGCAAGGAAAACGGTTTGCCAGTGGGCTTTTCAGTCGCAAGGCCAAACGGTCTCCAGGCTCAAGCATTGAGGCTAATTCTTTTGCCAGTGAAGGACATTCAGGAGAAGACCTTGGGAACATGAAACTGGAATATGAGCAGCTCAGCATTGGCCATGCCAGTGTTCGGAGCACTGGAGGCATCTCAGGTAAAACCTCTTCTACCAGCACATTACGCTTTTTTGTCCCTTGTTCTGGGTTTGGCTGTTTGGTGCAAGCATATTTAAGATAGGCATCTGTGAGTAGATCCTGTTATTTCCTTTATATGAAAATGAGCAGAATCAAACGAGTAGAAATTGTATCAAACGACACAAGCAATTTAAGTTGAAGGCAATTTAATGGCAGTCTTATTGTAAAGTTGGTACTTCTCATGTAAATGTTTTCTCATACTTCTCAGCAAGCAGGTATGGGACAAAGGGTGAGAAAGGTGCATGTCTCCTTTTGTAAAACTCATTGTGTGTACAGTTCATGAAGTGCACTGCCCTAATAAACAGCAGCAGTCTGTTCACTATTGTAGTGGCTAGCAGGGTGCGAACAGATTTTCAGTCTAACTCCTCCTTCCTCATTTGAGTTTAGTCGGGTACGTTAACTGTGACAAGTTACTGGTGGAGAAGAGAGGAAAATGTGTTTATGTTGAGGTTAGGGGGCAAGGAGTGGAGGAGAGGGTGGAAGTCTTTAATTTGCTCCTATATCACCTTCTGAAATGAGGGAGAAGGTTGTGAAAATAGAAACTATGGAGAAGTACTAGATCTCAACTTTTCTTTCTTTGTTAATGCGTAATTGCGTTTTCAGTAAGTCCTTCCAAGGCTTCATCCGGTTGAAGATGCAAATGATTAAGATTTCTCCCAATTTATGGGTTCATAGCTAACTTCCTAACATTTTAGGTGTTTTGTCAGATTGAAATAAGTCTATGGACTATTCAGCCTGGTTGTCTTCCTCCCTCAGTGAGCTGTGCTGAATGTCAATACGTCCTGCACCAGCAGGAAAACAAACTAGTTCCAGGGAGAAAATGTCTCCTCAGCTTGTCTGGCCAAAGACCATTCTGTGCTCTGATGAATGCAAAACGCAGGCACAGAGAGACTGAATTAGGTTCTTAAAAATACTTCTGGCTGAATGAAGGACAGACTCACAAATGCTAAATGAACACGAGAGAAGAACTGTAAGAAGGCATGGAGAGTTTATTTAAGACTATAGGAGACCCATTTTAAGATGTGTGTCTGGCATTTGGGAAGGCAGAAGTAAACCCTGGTCTAAAGAGGTCCTCCTTCCAAATCGCTTAACATCTTGAGCACAGACAGTACGTGCTGCTGGGCCCCATTCCTCAAAGCCAGGAAAAAAAATAATCGGTGAAGACCTATAGGGAGATATATGGGCATTTTCTCTCGGAGGAATGGACCTGAGGGCTTGCACTACCCTCTAGTGACAGAAGTAGAGAATTTTGTAATCTCTGATTTGTCACCACTTAGCAATATCAGAGGTTCCCTACGTTTCTCACTGTCAGCTGTTTTAAAGCAGTCAGCCCGCCATTCCCACAATGTCATCGTGAAATTAGGCACAGATTAAGGCATGAAAGAGGCTGATGTCTCTAGTTGAACAGTGGGAGTCTCCCCCTTTCTGGGGCATTGCACAATCAGGGCAGCAGGGGTGTCCCCATTCCTTTTAACACAGTGAATCTGTGCCAGACAGTCTGATGCTTGGTCTGGACCATTTCCACAAAGACACTATCATGCTATTATGTTCAGGTGTTATTTGTTGCCACTGCTGCTTCCTGAGGGCTGCCACCTCTTTCAAAAAAGGGGAAGGAAGAATTGAGAACAGGTGCAGGGAAGACGCAGAGGTCCAGCACACCAGCCTTCCTGCTGTGCTCTTCCTGACCTGATAAGCCTTTCCAAGGGGTCTATGCAAGTATTTTTTTTTTTTTTTTATGCAAATTGAGAATGCCTGTTCATGGTGGCAATGGGAGACCACAGCTTTTGAAGAATGGTCTAAGCAGACTTCAGTCATCTGGTGTTGTAAAAGGCTGAAGGAAGATCACTGCTTCTGTGTTGCTTTTGAATTGAATCACCGCTCTTTGAGAGAAAGCTTCTCTAGTCTAATGGTCCCAAAGCAGCATGTGAACAGAGATGGCAGAGGGCACATTAGGAAGATGGAGACTCATGAGAAAGAGGAAAAAAAATTAGTTACCCAGAAGATCCTGCAGCTGCTTGATCAGTAGCACATGTTTCATTAGGATTTAACAAAAAATTCTTGAACGCGAGCATGGAATAGAATTCCAGCATCAGGAAAAAAATAGGAGGCACTTTGTTCTTGGGCAACTGTAGGACTGACTTAGTTTTAAAAGTTTAAGTTATCTTTGAGCAGGTGTAGTAAAACTGATGCTGTGATACTGTGGGTGACAGAAGGGAGGTAAGAAGTGGAAATGAAGGAGGGAGAAGGTGCTTGGTGTGCGGACAGGTTAGGATGCAATTATTCAGAGCTTCACAGTTTGAAATAGCTGCCCTTACCTTTTGTAAAGATTAAACAGCACACTTAAGCCCTGTGGGCCTGCCTGTGCACACATCCTCCAAAGTCACTATTAATTCTGTAGTACCACAGAGACCCATCCCACCTTGCAAATGCATAGAGAGACCAGATCCATACCCTGCGTAGCTCGCAGAGTAATTGAAAGACATTATTCAAGCAGGCTAAATGTCAAGTTCAGTCTTGTAAGAGCAAATGGTGATGAAGAGAATCTCGACTGGGAAGGGAACTGATGAAAGTGTGTTCTGCGACAGAGTCTGAAAATCAGACTCAATATTTATATGCTAGAAAAGGATACCTACAAGTCAGAATTGAGAGTCTGGAAAATACAGGGGCTACAGATAGTAATGTCCCAAACTAAGTGTCCGAATTAACATCCTGCAGAGAGACTGTGCTTTGTCTTACAAGGCTTTCTTAGACCACATCATCAAATTGACACAACTCTTGAATTTCACTGTTGCCCGCTTAGGAACACAACAGCAGCAGCTCTGAACCTGACAAGAACCTTGTTAATTTTAAGCTGCTGCTGCTGTTCAGACTGTGATCAGCAAAAACACTGACGTCTGTGTGCAGTTTCTGGGAAATACTGCAAGGGTTTGAAAGCTGTGTGCCTTTGGAAGGTGCTGGCTTTTTGTTTTGTTTTCTCCCCTGCAAGAAGCAAAGTGGGCTGGTTCAGAAGGGTCTGCTGTCCTGAGTTGCTCTATACATCAGCCTTCACTCCTTCTGAGTGTTGGTTGCAGAACACATATACTTAATAGCAGGATTTTGTGTTTCACTTTTGAGTGCTTCTTGCAATAAGAAATGGGATTTACGCTGGGCACTACAATACTGCAGAAATAGCTGCTTAGTTGTCACCAGTGTTTTTCAGCTGAAATGGGATCATGGACAGGTGGTAACTGGAATTTTTAGCCTCTTTTCAAAAGAGAAAGTGGGGAATGTTGTTGGGTACATACAAGGAGGGTGTTTGCTCTAACTGTAGTGGGATCTGTAGAAAAAGGTCAGAAGATGAACAAAAAGCGAGAAGAACAAAGGAGTTGGGAGTTGAGATTAAGCAGAGGAGCACAGACACTTTTGAAAGTAAACATGAGGGTCTTGAATGTGATACAGACAGGTAGGGTAACAGGGGTGGTGGGGAGAATAGGAATAATGATAAAATTAGTAGTAACATACGGAGTGGTCAAAGAGGGGACAGGAGGTAGAATGAAATGCCATGGGGAGATGTGGGGAGGAGGTAGTAACATACAAAAGGGAAGGCAGGTTGCAGTGCAGCCTCTCACATGGATATCAAGAAGTTGCAGTGGGGAAGAAGCTGGAGAGAAGGAGGGGGAGAGGAGAGAGCTCTTCTCTTCCCCATCAGCTATGAGTGAGGAAAACATTGATCAAGTACCCACAAGTGAGTGACATGAAAAATGATGCACTTGAAGCCCAGTTCAGAGGCAGTGCTTGGGTTAGAAGCTCCCTCATCTTAGCAAGGTTGAGGCTTCTCAGTAGCATGTCACCATGACCTGTGGCAGTTTTCCCTCCCCGTTCTCATTCTGTACTGGCCACTGGTTCCAACTGCTTGGGAGATGCACATACACCTGCCTTCTGTACAAATACATGAGTGGGGTCTGCCCTTGTGCAGAGTGGCTGCAAGCCACATGGCAGCCCTGAGCAGTATGTACTGCCCTGGGCTACAGGTCCTGTGGGCCTTGCTGAGCTCAGAGCACAGATGAGCTCCCTTACTTGCAAAAGCCTCTGCAAACACACTTTAGTACAGTGCTTGGGAAAAAAAATATGCAGGGGCATCCAGACGAACAGCTGGCTGTAATGAAGGAGGTCCAACAGTAGTGCAAGCATTGAAAAGTACAGATACTGGACGCAGAAGGAATCTGTAGAGTGAGCAATGAAAAAACCTAAGATGACAAAAAATTGGGGCAGCATAATGTGTTACTTAAGTGAGAGACCCTGAGGCCTTGGGATTTGTCTTGCAAAGGATATGGTGGAAATACTGGCACTTGAGATACGAAAAACCCTCTGCTGAGAACCTCCCACCCAAGTCATGGCCAGACTGTTTTTCAGTGCCAGCTGAGACCTGAGAACACCACTGAAGCTGGCCTGCATTACAGGCCAAAGCCTGGAAATACCTCTCCAATGGTTTTCTCCACAGTGTACTCTGCATTTGCTCTTATTTTAATATCTCTTAATTTCACAGTAGTAGGAAATAAAACCACAAGCGAGTGCAGAATAATGTAGGTCTAACACAAGATGTATAGTAAATAACGAGAGTATTGAAGTATGAGTCCAAACTTTATCCAAGTCTTATTTACTCAACATTAACATTACTTTAACTTCTTTTCATTCCAGGTAACCTGGGTCCAAACTCCACTACAAGCGATAAAAACAAACAATCTACCTGTGTGTTATCTTGATTGGGAAGGATTGTCTGGAGAACTGAAGACTGAACAAGCTGGAACAGTAACCTCTTGATTGATTTTTGAACCTACAGCTGTGTCCTCACGCAGTGGTCTGTAAGGGCACTGTGCAGTCCTGGATGCACCTGGCACCCCCAGTTAAAGCACATTTACTGGGTGAAGCGTTGACTTGGGCTGGTCGGTCCCTTAAGTGAGGGCTAGTGATGAATGTATTAGTCCATGTGTCTGTGTGCACACATATTTTATATATAAAAACAACTGTGATGACTGGTCTCAGAGCTTGCTCTGTGTCCAGATAAATGCAGGAGATTTTCTGACTGACTTGTGCTGCTACTTCAGTCTGTCTAGCTACAGACTCGGAATCACTGTGTTGCATTGTTTACTCTACTGCACTGCAGAAATGTATTGGTTTGACTGGCTGGAAGGCTAAATCCAATTGAAGCAGCAAATTCTGGGTGAAATAAGGATGTTTACAGACAGCGTAGCAATCCTTTGTCCACAAGGAGTCTTCCTGTAGATTCCTGTTGTCACTTATCCACACAGAAATGAGTGGTCTGGGAGAAGGGTTTAGCTAGCAGAGGCCAATAGATCATTATCTTAACTGTTTCATGTCATAAATATAGCAGTCGAACAAAGTGATTTATCAAGAATATAGTAAAGAGAAAAAATGGAATATAGGGGAATGTTTAACCTGCAGTCGAGAACTGGGTCAGGAGAAATGCCTTATAAGGGGGACTGGGCAGGATCTGGGAGCAATGATGCAGCCTTCAGAAGCTTTTACAAAATCCTGTTTGTTGCTAATTCAGCAATGCTTTACTATTCATGGAAACTGAATGATTAAGGAGCACATCTTTGAGGGTTGAAAGAGGAAGCAGAGGAGACATAAAAGCTTTTCAAATGCTATTTTTTTTTTAAGTTAACCTTTCCAAACTCTAAATCATGCCAAAATTGAGAGCTTTGATCCATAAGAAGCACTGCATGCAATCAGACCAAAGGCCATCTAATGTGCTACCTTGTGTCTCAGGATAGCCCATAACAGGTGATCACAGAAGCATAAAAGACAAAGCTTGTGTTTCTCTGACACTGTTCCAGCAGTCTATGGACTTTCTGAACTGGCAGTTCCTTCGAGACCTGGCCTTAATGAATGCACTTAGTCCCTTTTCAAAAGTCCTTTTCTACTTTTGGCCTCCACAGTGTTCTGTGGCAGTGAACCCATAGTTCATTGTGTGGTATAAAAAAGAACTGTTGTCAGGCTGTTTTAATGGTTTTCTTGATGATTTCATGGAGTGACCCTAATTCTGCCACTGTCAGATGTAGTGATGACCATCCCTATTCCTTGTCCCCTTGCTACTTGTGATTTTACAGATCTATATGTCCTCAGTCATCACTTTTTCCAAGTTGCGGGTTCATGGTATACGTAGCTATTCATTATATGGGACTCGTTTGACACCTCTGTCCTCTTGTTCACTGGCCCTTTTCCAGTTCTACCCACTAACAGAGTGGAGAAGCGGGTTGTTTTTGTTTCTTCAGTGTGTGGGTCGATGCTTCACTCTGCTTTCTTGCCATCTAAATTACATACTCTGCTGTCATAAATAAGCCCTCTTGTGATACCTAAGAAAAATAAATCCTAATTGTAAGTAGACACCTGAAACTAAGATACCTACTAGCCAAAAAACTCTTCAGACATCAGAAAAACACAGGGTTAGCTTGCTTTTTTGTTAGGGGGAAACCATTTGGGTTTTTCTCTGCTCAAGGAATTCACAGCAAAGGCAACTGCTGCACTCCCAACACAGAACACGCGGTTCCAAAGGCTCTTCTAGGTGCTGGGTTGCAGTAGTGGTTGTTACACTGAAACAGCTGTCTGTAGTTGATGATAAAATGTGATTGATTGATTGATTGATTAACTGCCTTTCCTGGAAGTGTATTTAACTTGAATTGCAAGCAGGTCTGTTTTACTCTGAGTTTACCCTGTAGAACATCTTGAGACCCTAAAATACTAAAGGTATTGTGCCCTCTCTTAAACATACTCATCCTCACTTGGTGGGTTAAGTGCTTGCTACTCTATATAGCTATTCTATATAGCCTTCTGGGAACAAGCTGTAGTTTTACAACTGGGTCTGTCAGTTCCTATTATCAGCACTGTTTTATAAAATTATTCCTGGTAATGGAAGAAAGAGATGTTGCAAATGACACCATCACTTGGATGTAGAAGTAACTTAATACATGAGTTATCCTGTTGGCTTCAGGTGTACAGCTCATGTGCCAAAAGCTACCCACTGTATGTTTGTAGGATTGTCTAAAACGGCTTGATTTTGCCATACTTCCGTTATTCTACAGACATTCAGGAGATTTTTTTTCTCTCCTTGTATTTATATGACTCTATTAGCAGAGATCAGAGATAAATTTATCAGGCCAACATTGTTCCACTTTTCGTTCTGATAAGAACATTGTCATCTGGTGCTTCCTTGTTCTCCCAGACTTTTAAAATATTTATTTATTTTTAAATTGTGCAATAGGTTAATTAACTAATTAGTACCATGTTGATATACACGGTCACGTTTTCCAGGAAGTCCTCAATCTCTTGGTTTTTATGTCTTTGTTGCTTCATCTTGGGAGGAATGACTTCACAAATAGTCCGAGAGGCTGATTTCACTTGCCCTTCCTTTGCTTCTGTGCGTACTTATTAACGTGCTTTACTTTCTCTTTCCTATGATGGGTGTGAGAGCACTTTTCTTTAACCTCATCAACTAACAGGATCTCCTTTCCAGAGAGTCTCTCATCTGTTTGTCTTCTGTTTTGTTGCCACACCAGTTCCTGAAAGGTAGTGTTCACTTGTTTTTAAATTCCTTCCCCTGTCACAGAATTTGAGTCTCATGCCTTGACTCCGGGGGCTAGTAGAATTCCTTAGGCTTATCACGCACTGTTTAATTACTTAATTTGAGAGAGCAAACGTGCTTTCTTGCATGATATGAATCTGCTCCTTAAACTCAGCGTGACTCTCCGGGGATGCATGCAGCCTTGCTGATCCAGAGCGGATGTTTCAGACTCTGGTGGAACTTGTTCTTCCCTGAAGATAAGATCAGCTGAACTTGGACTATTTGGCTGCTCCTATGGCAACAGATCTGAGTCTGGGTGAGGTGACCACATTTATTTTACCTAGTTTTGCCAATTGTGGTTCTTGATGAGCGATAGAAACCTGAGGCTGTGACCTGTAAAATGAATCTCCATCACTCTCCAAATAAAATGTGGTTGATGGTGCTGGGGGGCAGAGGGGCAAGGAGCAGTGTTTATGAATTTTGTTGGAAGTCTGCTAGCGGAAGCTGAAGGTACAGCAAGTACCTACAGCAGTCTTCAAAGAAGCTATCTTTTGGTCCTTGCCCAAGACGCCACCTCTTGCAACCAAGTCACTAACCTCCCAAGGGGGTGGGAAAGATGGGAGACGTTTGTTGTTCCGTTGCTATTTTAAAGAACAAGATTAGCTCTCTTTGGCGTCTGTGTCCTGGCCCTGGACAATCCCAAGAGGACGCCTGTTCTCTGGATCTTGTTTACTCTTTGGCTTGTCAGCCCAGATTTGCTGATCTGTGTGGCGTACCAAGGAGCCTACACTTGCGGTCCTGGTTTTGGACAGGGATTAACAAAGCTGGAGCTCGCGGCTCTTACTTTCCAGCGTGAAGTGGTGAGTGGTTCTGAATGAGCCTCTTGGCTGGATGTGTGCCTTCTGGGTTTCTTTTGGTATGCATTTGTATATTTAATGTATATGTGTCCAGCGAATTATGCGGGAGACCTTTTCTAAGTCAAACAAATAAACTCTTTACTATGTTACATTCAGATAGTTTGTTCATTGGTGTCGCTTTCAATTTCTCAGCTACAGTTCCTGGGTTTGCGGGATTTTTCTTTTTATTTGTAAAGAAGCTGTACTGTCGGGATTGGAGCAGGTTTCTGTGTAACACATGAACATCTCTGGCCAATGTTTGGTGGTGCTTGTTAAAACATGTGTGGGCAGCTAAATTCCCCACAAGTACAGAGTCCTGTGGCTTTAAGTACCTTGAAAGACACTAATTCATTCCTGCTTTCTCATTGCTGGAGTAGGCTGTAGCAGATGTCCGCTTCAGTTTTTCTTTATTTTTTTACTACGGCTCTCTTTGCAGCTGAACTGTATCTCGCTGCAGCTATAAATGCATCTGACAAAGTGCCACCTCTGTTTCCCTTTCCGTCTTTCTTATATAATTTGTACCCATCAGCGATGACATTTCATTTATGAAACAGAGTCCCTCTGCTACATTTCACTTTTACCTGGTACAATGTAATCCTTGACATTTAAGTAACTCCCAAGCTCTTGTTTCCCATGCTCCCTTTGTTTGTGTATACAAAAGCCTGTTTTAAAATTCGTGACCATGTTTCAGAATAAATCCAGCCTCTATTTTACGTTGGGGCATTAAGGTACATGAAAAAGTATTTGCAGTAAACAAAATCTTCCTCTTTTTTTCAGTGTTGAAAGTCCACATAGCGATTGCATTTGTACTGTTTAAGAGGAGTCTGTCTAATCCAAGCTCATTTCAAGGGTATGTCAGGGCTCTGAGGATCTTGAGCCTCTTTCTTTATAGTATTAGCACCACCATCACTTTGTGCCTTTTCTTTTTCTGCGCTTGTTTTAGGGAGGTTCTCCAAGAAAGTCAGATAAACTTATCCTTTCCCTCGTTTCACTGTTACTTTAATACTGCACTTTGCTCTTGTTTCTGCATGCTTTTGTCTATGCTTTTTCGAAATCAGGGAGCAGTCCAGGAATGAATGACCTCTTTGTGTCCCTAGACCTTATGTCTCCTGTCCTTAGCCTGCTGAAGAGATGCAGATTTGAGAATCCTCATTAATAAGCAAGACTTAGGAAAAGCACAGTCAGTGACTGTAGAAACTATCTTGGAAGAGAAACCGATAGATGTAGATGAAACGGTAAGGAATTTATGCGTGTAGCAAGGCTGGCAGACGTTTACCTAACTCTT